TCATAATCATTTCCTTTATGTGAAAACCCTAAAAATCACCAAATATGGAGACACGTGGTTTCACACAGTAGTTTTCCATGTTTCATCTAAACCTTGTTGTTGTGCTTTGAATCGTGACTTAACACTTTTTTTTTCTTTTCTTTTTTTTTTGCTGTGGAAACATTTTTAAGAAAAACATCTTCCACCAAACATTTGGAGCCTAAAACAAAAAACGATGTGTGTTTTATTGTATTAATTATGTATGTCTCTATTCATTTAAAAACAAAAACAAACAAATATAAAACAGTCACAGTGCTGTTAGAGGGAAAAATACAAACTCTGAGACCGAAATAAAACACATGAGGAGACAAAATCAGCAAGTTTACGATGATGAAGATGATGATGATGATGAAGATGAGTGGTAAAGCTAAAACTAGATTATATGTTTATGAGTTAAATAGATTTTCCCATCATCTGTGAACTCTCAGATGCTTGAGGATGTTTGATGTTGTGGACCTGACTCAGTTTTACAGCGAGCCACCAGCGCCCCCTGCAGGACCCACAGTGTTACTACCTGCTGTCGGTAGGTGGCAGTAAGTCCACAGAGGCTCCACAGTACAAACACACACACACACACCACAGAAGAAGTGAGCATTAAAGGAAAAATACACTAAAAGAAAATAGTAGCTTCAAATTGTGCAAAAATCAGTTGGCAGGACTTTCAAATGTTAAAATTATAACACAATAAAATAAAATCTCAGAAAAATTGTTCAAATTGTGTCATTAAATGGACACTTTTAATTTCATTTAACATTTAATTCATCAATTTTACATTTCTTAGAGTTTTTTTTTATAAATTCATAGTAAGAAAACAACGGACGTACTATTAATCCATCACTGTTAAAGTTAGATTAATGTAATTGGCTGTTTGTTTCAACCTGAGTTGGATATCAAGCTTCAAATAAATCAATTTGTGAACATTTTCCACTTTAATTAAACAAAATTAATTAATTGTCACTGGTCCAAATTAACAAAAGTCATGTGTGGTCGCCCTGATTTCCACTGGTTGAATCAAACTAAGTACATTTACTCAATTATTGTACCAAAGTAACATGTCGAAGTGCTTTTCTGCATTAAAATAACATTAAAATAATAACATATGACATCATCAGCAACCATTTATTAAATCCTGTAAACATTCATGTGATACATATAATAAGGACTCTGAGAGAGTCTGAGACATCCTAAAATAGGTATCGTACCTATGATAACGACTTTTACTTTAGCTAACAACACAACCTTTATTCTGGACAAACCTAAAAGCTATGAAAGATATGAAAAAGTTGAATTATTTGATGTTCAAGTTGTGTATTTTTTAATGTTTGACTAGTTTGTTTGTGAGTGTATGAATGAATGAGCTGGAAGAGGTTGAACATGAACTGATCTCCATTGTAAGTAAGTTTAATATTTTAAAAAGTTTTAAAGGGATTTAAACATTAATACCCAAAATTGATGAAAGTTTGAATAGCTGAAAGTGTAAAGGAGTAGTTGAGAGTTGAAAAATGCATAAACAAATGTGAAAATGTGTGAATTTTAAAGTATGAATAGAGTAAATTAATAGCACACATCATAATTATGCACTTTTATGTTTGTTCATAGCAGAACCAAGTGTAAACCATCAGTGATAAGAACATAGGTGTTAAAGGTTTCCAGCATTCACTCCTGTTTTAAAGCTGCAGTAGGTAACTTTTATTAAAAAAAAATAGCTTTTTCTTTTCACTGTGTCCTGACAGTAGTACATGAGATAGATAATATGTAAAAATATCAGGTTTCTCTGGCTTGTTCTGGCCTTTATAAGAATCCACCAGGCCTGGATTTAAACAACCAATGAGTCAAGAAAGATATAAAGACACTTTGGGTTAGAGGCTTAAAGATAGTTGATAGTTAAGTCTCATTCCCAGAGTCCCAAAGCGTCTGTAATTGACAATCAACTATTTTATCTATCGGCTCTGATTGGTTGTTTTCATCCAGGCTCAGTGGATTATTGCAAACACCATTAGGAGCACTAGAGCCAACCAGAGGAACCGCAGATTATCGGTCTAATGTCAGGATATATCGTGAAATTATTCAGCAAATATAACCTAAAAAAATACCTACTGCAGCTTTAAAGTGGGTTTTCTCTTTGTGGCACTGGACTGAGTTGTAGGAGGATAAACTGAGGGAATTAAGGAGCAGGAATTAAAATGATTACTGAGCATAGGTCGTTTATTGTTGGCCTTTTTAAGGGATACAGGGGTTTTCAGTAGGATATAAAAACAAACAAGAATAGGTGTTAGGAGTGGATAAAGTATAAGTTAGGTTATGTTTGTTTAGTTTAGTTTATTGTAGTTGTTTTTAAGTATATAAGTCTATTTTTCTGATTCACACTCCGGAGCAGAAGGTGGCGGTAATGCGACAATAAAGCTGCACAACGCCATAAAAACTAGTAGCTGGGATGTTAAAGTCTGCTCAGTCAGCCCGGTAGTTTAGATGCACCTGAAATATAAACAGACCTTTTAACAATATTTAAATATAGTTCTTTTGTATCATAAACTCATAATGTCTTGGGTTAAAGCTGTTTCGTTCAGTGGAGAAGATGTTTTCGACGAGAATGCGGACGACATCAACCTGCTGAGTCGAGAGTGGACGTCCAACATGAAGAAGCGAGTCCGGGTAAACGCTAAAATAAAGTGTTTCACTTCATTATTCTGCTCCAAATGTTGTGTTTTATGTGTATGTTTGTTAATGTGAGGTGTTGTCCCTCCCTGACTGCGGATAGGACGGGTATGTGGACGGAGTGGACGCCGGGGAGGAGGCCTCTCTTCAGGCCGGGTTCAACCTCGGATTCCGGGAAGGAGCAGCTCAGACTGCCGCTGTGGGTCGGCTCAAAGGCATTGTAAGGTAAAACCATCATATAATTTATACTATATGTGATATATTTAATGATTAATGTGGGTTAGAAGTTATTAGATATATAGGTTAGGAAATAAGGATGGATGTTACATAAAATTAGGTTTATTTTTCAGACTTTTCAGTATAAATGCTGGATACTTTCACCTCTTTATGCCTCTAAAAAGTGATTTTAAATGACACAATCCAAGAAGGAAAAGTCATTATTATAAGTTGTGTTCACATTAAGCATCAGCCTGTGATTGGAGTTAACAGATAGCCATGAAAACATGTTGAGAACTCATTAAAATAATCCTCCTGACCTCCTCCTGTTAATACAACTGACATTTCTGAGCTCTAAACTTATGAATGGTGTCACAATCTGTATTTAAATGTGGCCAAATGCTTTTTATTCCATCTGAATTATGGTTAATTGTATGTATGTATGTATAACACAATGGTCAAGCAGGTACAAACATTGACATGTGACTGTTGAGTTATACTTTTTATTAGTACCCTTAAAGGGAATACAAACATGTTTTTACCCAAAAGAAGCCAAATATCTTAAAAGTGAAATGCTTGCTGTTGTAAACTTCACCTAAATAAAGTTAAAACTAAAGAAGAAATCACACAATATGAATTTAAGCAAGCAGATAATGATGTTTTTAACGCTCTGTGACACCATAAATAAAAGTAACATTTAGCAAAGACATGGCATTAACTTTGGGAAATTGTATTTAAGTCATAATATAAATAATTAACATCAATACTGATGTGTTAACTGGATTAAATATATATTTTAATTGAGTCCTGTGTTTACTATTGGGGGCAGAAAAGTCTTTATTGTAAATTAATCCTCCATAAAAGCTTGTAAAAATGATCCATATACATGTTATTGTGTTTTTTTTGTATGTGTCACTGTTTAAATATTAAAAATCATGACATTTGTTGTAGTAGTTATAAACGTCAACCACACAGCTCATATATAGGAAAAGAGTACTTGGTTATTAAGTTGACT